TGTACATGCAGTCACTTTGGTGTGTGGTAGCTATGAGATATCATTTTGTTATTATTTTGTTGTTTAGAGTCTGGGTTTTATATATAAAAAATAAATAGACTGAAAGCTCTCCTGTTTAGGATCTGAACAGGATCAAATAACTTGACAATCATGGTATCAATGCACCTATTTGCTTTTCTGTTAATGCGATAATTAAGCCTATAGTAGGTGGACAAATATTTCTCAATTACCGTTGTTTTTCATTTTCATTTAGTTTCATTTAGTTAATTTCACTATCTAACTAAATTCCTGTGATACTGAGTACTAAAAGTCATGTGCTCATTACATTTTTATTTCAAAATAGTAATCATAAAAACAGCATGATTTAAATGTTTAGATTCTGTGTGGGAGTTTGGCAGACAAATAAGTCCACTGTGATTAACCGACTGGATGTATGCTTGCACAATATTTCTGAAATATTAAGTAAACAAAATGAAAGAATTGAACATCAAGTACCTACGTAGCTGTCATAGAAGGCCCATGTTTTCCTGCTGATATGACGTGAAGAAAAACAGTATAAAAATTTTATATGTTTATTGTATATACTGCATAACAAAACAGGAAATGGTGCTGTCATTCCATCTAATGAGTAAAGCCACCAAAGGTTTAAAATGTACATTTTTTTTCAAGATACAATTAGCCTATATACATTATTCTTTAAAATGTTGAAGAACATATATATAAAAATTAAAATTCAAGTGCAATTATATTAGAACTGGTAGATACATCAGATCTATGTTGATTCTTTTTGTGATGCACAGTGCCAACCTGTCATAAAATGCATTGTTTGTATTGAATATACTGTATGTAAAACTCTAACAATGAAGAGTCATTACTGTATTTACAGTAGGTACAGTAAATACTCTCCATCCCATCTGCATTGTTTGAAAGTCATTAGATAAGGCATCAAGTAATTATTGGCTTATAAGATAGTTGGCATACTACAAAAAGACTTTTACAGACACACAGATTTGGCATCATTATCCATTTGTTAAAGAAATAAATTACTGCTTTATTGTGTTAAGATGCTAAGTATCTTTTGATAAAGGCAAAAAGCTAACTGTTGCCAGAGAAGGTATTTCAGAATTATACTAAACTTAAACAAACAGAATGCAGTGTTGTTTAACTTTCATGTGTTCATCCTTGACATCAGGTTGTGATGTGCTTGCATACCTCAGGGCTGGTTGTTTTAGGCAATGTTTGGTCAAGCAAAGTACATTCTTTATCCTTTGTTGCTTCATGAAACCAACATTAACCATTTAAATCCTTTGCTGTACTTAAAAAAATGTTTGGGTACAATGTAATACTCAAATGTCTTACTTTCAACCTTTTCATTTACTGTGGTCTACATACTTGTGTTAATTTAAATTACATAGACACTTCAATTTGCAAGTGATGCATTTCCCCATGGAAATATCTGCCACTTAGATGTTTGATTTAAGTCACATTACACATAATGTTATTCCAGATTTGAAACATTTTTTAAAACAGTTCCGATGCTTCATTATCACATCATTACTTCAAGGTATTTAAGCATTATATTAAGGTATTAAGTTATTTCACTAAAAGAATATTTTCTATGGCTTCAAACAGGCAGTAATATAGGTTATAGAAAAAGTTACAGAAGCTACATGGTAACGAAAGTTTTCACTATTGTGTTCTTCACTGTTCAAGTGTTTTAACACTGTTGTGATCCATCATAAACTATTTCCCTTTGTTTTCTTGGGTCCAGACTGTCAGTTTATTTAGCTGAGAACACAAATGCTTTTCTTTAATGCTTTTCTTTTTTGATTGAACACTTTTTAGGCTTGGCTCTTCTTTAAAAACATGAGATAACAGTTCTCAAAAGTCTGGCCCTTCTTCTATTACAGTACTGTATATGTTAACAGCATACTGATAAATGAAAGCACCCTGTGGAATTAATTAATTAATTTAAAATATAAATATAGATTGATAAACCTTTCAGGGAAAATTACTATTTAATACACATAACACTTCATGTTTGTCACATTTTACAATAGTATTCTTTATAAAATTATATATTTTAAACAAATATACTGCTCTATCCTTACTATTAAAATTATTTTTACCATTACAAATGTTTTTTACAATGTTTTGAGAATGTTTTTACATAGTAAAAAAGTATCTCATGTGGATTTTAATCATCTGTTTTTAGTTTATTCATGTGCTAACAATCAGTTTTGCACATTGTTTGATAGCACATAAACCTATTAGCAGATTTCCTATTACTCACTGTAAACTGGATATTGAGAAGTAACGATCATTGGTTTAACCATTAACTGTTGTGTCAAAAAGTCAACCTATTGGCACTAAAGCAGAAATCTAGCGTCCAGACCCCCATATAAAGATCAGGCTGTCTTTAGAAACCTACATTAGACAGAAGAAAACATCACCCAAAGATGAAGACCTCTATTACCAACATGAAGGTGTTACTCTTGGGACTTCTGTGTGTTTCTGCTATGTGTTCTTCAGATTATGATGAAGATGACCAGGTAAATATGTTTTCATAGCTATTTTATTTTTTTAAATTAATTTTATTATGGAACTTTAAAAATGTTTGAATAATTGCCTTCCGTTTTCCAATGTTATTTTTCCTTGTAGTTTTCCTTCTATTTGATTGTTGCCACGGTACTGTTAAAATCTTCTGAAATATATTTCCTGTATGTGATACATTTCATTTTTCTTTTTTATAGGGTCAGGAGGCCACTGGGGTATGAATTCTTTAATTTTACAACTTGTATGTTTTGAATTGTTTGTAGAACTGGTAAGATTATAAAGCATATTCAAGTCTTTCTTACACTCAGGTTTAAATATGGCTAAGTGCTGATAAATGGAAAGCTATTTCATTTAAATCAAATTGGCCAAAGCCAAGGTGTGGCTAAAAACTGGTAATAATACCCTGTCATCAAAATAACCTATTTATTGCCATTGTAAAATCAAACCCAATAGAATATTACTCGAAGCTACAATGTCCATCTCTCACAGTGACGATAAACTTCAAGTCTTCATCACATTACGTCCTCTTTTCATACCATAGTTATGGCAATCTCCTGTCAATGCTCAAATTAAAGATGTATTTAATGTGCTGGAGACAAGTGTTTCTCAGAGAAAATCTCAGATTTGATAGTTAAAATGATAGAAAACCATTCCATTATCACTTGTTCCTCCAAGTTGAAGGTGTGAATGATATATTGGGAATGCGTGAATCGGGTTTTGTTTCAGAAAGTTGTTGATGCTCGGGGGCACAGACCACTTAATAGAGGGGAGAGGCAACCTGTGATGCAGCCGGCCCCTCCACCTCTCAGCGGAACGTCGTACCGGGCCCGGCCCACCGTCCTACCTTCCCGCAGTGGCCAGCAAAAAGAAAAGGAAGTCCAGCCTGATGAGGGGGGCTGCACTCATGCATCTGAGGAAATGGTAAAGCAAAATCGTCTTTTTCTTAGGATTTTGCTTTTTATACCATTCTCAATTGGGTTCACCAGTCATCAGTCACTTGAGATCACTGGTTATCACTCTCTACCAACTTAGGATGGAGGGAAACCATGAATGTGAATGCATTCCTCTGAAACGGTCACTTTCTTGCCATTTAACTTTATTCCACACAGTGATGCACTCAGAGCCTAAAATGGAGTAAGCACTGAATGGAGGACTGAGGAAGCTCTCACTGATCACAGAGAGCACTACACATATTAATTGTTTTCTGTTGCAAGCCAAGACAATCCTGATTGACTCAAGTTCACCCAAATCTGGCACTATTTTGTCCTGTTGATTACTTTAGTAATTCTGGCCACTTTATTACTGTTATTAACATTACCCAGACATAGATCACCAATGTGTCCACAGTGGGGATCAATCTTTACTCTGAACGAAAACTTTAAATGTTTGAGCCATTTGGAAGTCCCTAATACAGCATAGCATTACTACCCTGTTGCCTGATCTCATCAGATCTGAGAAGCAAGACTGGTCCTGGTCAGTCCTCCAAGGAAAACCAGATTGAATTTCCAAGTGGTGTTGGCGGACTAATAGGAGACACTCTGAACCAGAATTACCAAATCAATTCTCTAGTATGACATAGAAATACTGTAAGAGATACCATCTTTAAGCTGAGAAGTTAAACTAAAGTATTAAAATGTACTGTTAAAGATCCCATGACATTTGTTTTGTTAAATGGCTCTTTGGGTGTGTATTGACCTCAGTAGGCTCCTTAATGTTCCCCAGTATTTCAGTGAGTGACATAATTTCTCACTACTTCACCTGATCTCTTTAAGAAAGCCCCTGTGTAGTGGTGCTGTTGGCACATAATGTCTGCTGAGCGTTTCAGTGGTGGATAAAGAACACCCCCCCTTGTATGTAAAAAGCTTATTCAATAATCCAAATCATGAGTATAGTGTAGTGGATAAATTCTTGCTCAATGAGCCGCCGTGATTAGAATCCAATCTGCCTATCTATTACTATGCTGTGGTTATTAAGATTTTGTAAATATTCCTTCTCAAAAATTGTAACAATCTTTTTATGCCTACTTTAACTATCATCATTCATCTCATTGTCAAAGGATTTTGTAAAACAATGTTCATTTCTGCACTTTGAAAAGAAATGCACGGAGCTGCATTTAAGAGAATTGTTATCAGCAGCTCTGGAATTACACTTGAATCTATGTCTTGAAGATTCAGTTATATAATGTATACCATATAACAAAGATAATCCAAACTACAAAAAGTAACCATAATGCTCTTTACATAGTTACATAGTACAGTATATCAATAGTCTGTCTATTTTAAATCTCCCAGTAAATTAAATTGTTGCCTCTCCACAATATGTAAGACAGTAAAACTGTATATATACAGTATGTAAGACCCTAGCAGTGATCACTAAGAGTACTTACAAGTATTTTTTTTCCTACCACACGCCTCCCCTCCCCACCAGGGTGTATTGTGTCCCAATGGATGTGAATTAAAAGCCAACCTTTTGAAACAAGAAAGAAATGTGAAAACAACAGTAGCACAGTTGAAATCAGATGTGCTGATGCTGTCCCAGTCTTCTAACCAGATTCATACATATGTCCAAGGTCTTTCTAATGCACTGCGAGAGAGACAAAGGGTGGCTGATGGTAAGTACCCTTGCCAACATGCGTTTTAGATACTATTGTATTACAATGTGCTGTACATGCAAAAGACCAGCTGAAAGCCAAAGTGATGGTTTCCATGCCATTGAAATACAAAAAGATTAAAGCAGCAATTTATAATAACTACAACAGAATTTTGCGAAGCTCATCATAATTTGGAATAAAAAAGGTCTGTAACCTCCTCATTTGATTATTTAAAGACTGTTTAGCAAAAAGATGGATCAAGAAATGGATGTTGAAAGTTTATATCGAATGGGTGAGAAATGTAACTTCTCATTTATTAAATTAAATAGGGGGGAGGATATAGAAACACAATGTAACTGACAGTGAAGATGCTGAGCTTTGCTATATTTTACTGAGCTTGTCACAGCTAGCTAATTAAAAACCATGAAAATGAGATTTCACTCTCGGATATACAGTACGTAAGTCCATGTTGTATTTTTTATATAATTATTGAAGGTTGATCATACTGTCAATTGCAACATATAATATGGATAACAGTTTTTTGGGTTTCTTGGGGAAGTAAACATTTTTATATGAAAATTTCCAAATTTGGTAAACGTGTTTGATGCCTAGTGAGAGAAACATAAAGAAAAGGATTTAAACTATGATACATAACAATGAAGATGTACACCTGTAACTCCCATCTTATCCTGTCTGAGGTGTCTGGATGTCAAGACCAGACTGGGCGGCATATTTTCTGTACTATCTGTGGCAGTAGAAATAAATGAGTAAGCAAAAAAAAGTGCTACTCTTGATGAAGGTTATTTCTGAAAGTACCCTTTTTGTTTTTTTGTTTTTATACATTTTTATTTTTGGAGCTTAGCATGGTCAGAAATGTGAATGTTTACTTAAATGTAAATATTATACAGTACTGTATGTACATATAACATACAGTACAGTATATACTACACACATACTGTATAAGTGAAAAATGTATCTTTTGTGTTTCAGACAACACCAATGTTGTTGGGGAGTACACCTCAGATTTGGAGCAGCAGCATGCCTATATAAAACAAAGCGTTGATACTACAGTTCCATCCAGCGTTCGTATCCTTCGTGGAGTTTTAGATAACCTGAGAAACAAAATCCAGAAGCTAGAGACAGCTATTATCTCCCAGAAGCAGAAATGCGAGAAGCCATGCACTGTATCCTGCAAAATTCCTGTTGTGTCTGGAAAAGGTATTTCATGTTGAATTTTGAGAGAAACAACCTTCTGTTTTCTTTCATAGAATGATGTACTGTATGTTTCATTTGTATTTAAACCATCACTCACAGATGGCCAGCAATGGGTTTTGGTTATCAGTTCTATCCCTGCCTATCTAATCTTCAATAATTTATGTTGTAGATCTACAGCAGTTTCTTTTGCTATTCTGATTTTGTCAAATTATGCTTGATTTCAGAATGTGAAGACATCTTCCGCAAGGGAGGAGACACCTCTGAGATGTACTTGGTTCAGCCTGATTCCTTCTTCCAGCCTTACAAAGTATACTGTGACATGACAACATTAAATGGAGGTGAGTACCAAAAGGTTATGTAGAGTATGGTGGCTTTGTCCTGCCATGGTATGTGTTTATCAATAACAAAGAGTGTACTTTTACTTTAGAGATCATATAAGTTAGAGGGAATTGTTTTACAGGCTGGACATTAATTCAGAACAGACAAGATGGAAGTGTGGACTTTGGCAGAAGATGGGATGACTATAGGAGTGGATTTGGAAATATTGCACTTGATAATGGTAAAGGTTTCTGCAATTCACCAGGTAAGATAACATCCAAAAAGGCCCAAATTTTTTTTTGAAAGACTGCAGCAAATACTGTGTCAGTGCAAATAAATGACAATGGGAGAAAGGTTTAATACAAATGGGTTCAATCCTAGAAAATGTGAAAAACATCCATTTTTCTTCACAAATTTCATGAGCACATTTTTATAGGCAAAGATTGTCTAACCTACAATTGATAAATTCTTCTGATTTATACAATAGTCTGTGAAAACAACTCTCTCCCAAGTGCTTCTGAAATACAACAGGCAAAATAAGAATATACAAATTTTATTTGATAAGTCAGATAGCTATACATGCATTATGAAAGTTATAGATTTTTTTCTTCTTTACACTTACTTCACATTATTATTATATTTTAGGGGAATACTGGCTTGGAAATGAAAGAATTAGCCAACTGACTAAAATGGGACCAACAGAGCTTCTCATTGAGATGAAAGACTGGAGAGGAAACACAGTGTCTGCTCAATATCTCCAGTTCACTGTCCAGAATGAAGCCTCCAATTACATAATGGCTGTAGCCAATTACAAAGGGACAGCAGGCAATTCTCTGTTAGAAGGTGCACCACAGTTATATGGTGAAAACAGGACAATGACAATACATAATGGGATGATGTTCAGCACATATGATCGGGACAATGACAGATGGTAAGTTCATAAATAAAATCTTGTACTGTATATTCATTTTGACTTTATGTTTGTGTACCTGCTGTTCAACAGCTTATCAATGTTTCAGCATAGGTGTTTTAAACAGAATTTTTTAAAACAAAGTCACGTGAATGAGTGTACCCTAGACAGCTTTGAAAATCCTTAGTTTGAAAATCCTATTGCTTTTCAAATGGGATCTCCTGCCTTCAAATCTAAGCTTAATTTCTAAATTTGAATGGAGGCACCGTGAAGGCAAATTGAGTTGCAGACTTCCAAAGCCTTATGATCAGTTTTCCACATAGGACTTAGCTACAGCTAATGGAAGGGAATAGCATTGGAAGACCTTCAGATTTAAGCTTGCTTTAATGTCAAAATAGCCTCTTAAGTCTTTATTTAGCCTCTAATAATTCTCCACTTCTGTGCATCTGTTATTAAAACAAGTACTGTATACAGATTGGTCTTAATTTACCTTCAGATGCTCAATATACGTAGCGATTTTCCCTTTTTTCTGGATTGTTCTGTGTAATTTCACAGACATTTACTACCATATCATCTAAAATAAAGACATTTTTTTTTTGTAAAAAGCAGAGTCCCATTTTCCCTTGAGCTTCACATTATTGGCTGTGCTTTGTCTGGACATTCTAATGCAGGCCTTTTCCATTTCTCCTGTAGGGCACCTGGAGATCAAGGGAAACAGTGCTCCAGAGAAGATGGTGGTGGTTGGTGGTACAACCGCTGTCACTCTTCCAACCCCAACGGCAGGTACTACTGGGGAGGAGAGTACACTAAAACCATGGCCAAACATGGCACAGATGACGGAATTGTGTGGATGAACTGGAAGGGATCCTGGTATTCCCTGAAGGAAGTGAGCATGAAGATCAGACCATACTTCAGTGGATAGAAGGCTGACAGCAGATGCAACTCAAACCAAGTGAAGTGTTCTTACACAGGCTGTCAACCCCTTGGTTTTGTGCAAAACTGACACATTATATTGACAAGTTATTCACAGGAAGAAGTAGGAAATGTAATTTCATAGAGTATTAATTGTAAAGCTTAAATGCTGTTCCTGAAAACTGCCAGGAATATTTTAACTTGTGCACATGTTTTTAGAACACCATATAGAGTAAGATGGTATCTTTATTTTTTTCTATGAACTTGGCTGTTGACATTGTCTGCAAAAGGTGGTAACTGTGTATTAATCTCCACTAGGTGATGAGTCAGGGTTAGGTCTTTTCTCTCATCATTAAACAAGAATGTTGCAATAGATATCCCTGTGTGGGCCTTTGTGTATAATATGTTAAAGGATAAAGAAAATTCATTCTGCATGATTATATACCTTGAACTCTGTTGTAATAGTGCACCACACTGAGTACACTGAGTACAATGACTAAATACAAAACTGCTCACAATCCCACTGTACAAGAATACTGTTTCACAAGTTAGCATTTCAGTTACATATACATAACATTATGTTTTGGAAAATTCTTCATCAGAAGACCAGGAGACAGTTATGTGTGGTTTCAATCCTTATTGAGTTTAAAAAAGTACATAAACACAGGACAGACACACTGCTACAGTAGATTTGCTAACTATTATACAGTATACAGTTCAGGCTCAGAAAGAAGTTGATTACACACTGAGTCCTGTGTTCGTCCTGTTCTTCGAGTGCTGGTCCTGCCCTTTGATATGCGATTACTTCTCTCAATAAATTATGGAAGGAAATTAATTGCTGCAGCTGTTAAAATGAGTCAGCAACTACTCTAATGCAATCGAGAGAGAGTCTTTATTATCCCCGGGGGGGGGGGGCAAGTTGTTTTAGAGCAGCAGTGTTGGTGTTGGTACAAATGGACAGAAGAAAAAGAACGACAGGAACAACAATAAACAGTACATACAGTACATATTTGCATACAGTTACTATGCACATTACTGCTTAAGTACATATTCCACAATGTAGTAAAGCAGTAATTTTGTAATGCTGGATACAGTATGTGCAACATGCAGTATAAATGCCCTACTTCAATCTTGAATGTCTAGTCAAATCATCCATACTAGAAAACACATCCAGGTTTTGTATTAATGAAAGGACAGCACATTGGAGATCTAGTGAGTTCTTATGCCAAACAATACTTTGAAAACAGATACAAAACAGAAGACGAATGAAGAAGACTTTAGGTAGTAGATTTCACATAAAGGAGGGAGCAGACCTGATAAGCTCTGAGTGGAAATGCCCACTCTCCTGGACTGATAAGGAGGTTTAGGGTAGCCATAATCCTAACCCAGCCATGAGGAAGCTGTGTCAAGATGTGCCTGTGTCTTGGCTCTAACAGGGAAGAAAAAAAAGAGTGAGAACTTTGGAGTGAGGTTTCAGCAGAAATGGGTTGAGTTGGCTTACAGGTCTGTGGGGGCAAGGAAAGGATGCTTTAAGGACAGGAGGG